TGATCTGTATTTAGGTTTCATGAAATTAACATTTGAAAAAACCAGATTCACCAAGACACCAAGTTGTTCCAACATTCCTGAAATATTTCCAAAACAGACTTACCAGTTTTAAAGTTAGCTTTAAATTAATTAAAATTAAATGAAATTTAAAGTTTAGCTCCTCAGTCACACCAGACACATTTCAAGGGTCTAACACATGTAGTTATTGCCTTCCATATTGGACATCACAAGTCTAAAGTTAGCACCATCTTACGAAAAAGGCTTGGGAGAATTTTGTCAGAAAACTATGCTGTAGACAAAGGCTGAATGCCAAAAGAAAGAATTTTCATAAAATAAAGGTTAGCTGGAGCGTGCACAACTGCAAGAGCTTTGGACATTCTTTCCAGGCCAGCACAGGGGAGAAATCACATGGCTACAGATCCCCATTAGCTTGCTCTTCTCTACCTGTTGGCTCCACTGACTGAAAGTAACATTGACCTGAGATATAGAAGCAGCTCCCTTCTTGTAAATTGCTGGAAGATTAAAGCAATTTGTAAAGTAAGGTACTGGGGTCGGGCGCAGTGGCTCACACCTGTAATCCCAGCACTTTGGGAGACCAAGGCGGCTGGATCACCTGAGGTTGGGAGCTTGAGACCAGCCTGGCCAAAATGGCGAAACCCCATATTTACTAAAAATACAAAAATTAGCCAGGTGTGGTAGTACATGTCTGTAGCCCTAACAACTTGGGAGGCTGAGGCAGGAGAATCACTTGAACCTGGAAGGCAGAGGTTGTAGTGAACCAAGATTGTACCACTGCACTCCAGCCTGGGTGGCAGACTGAGACTCTGTCTCAAAAAAAAAGGTAAGGGGAGCCAAGCAAGGAGACAAGAAAATGAGAGAAATACACATGCTTTGGTTGTGAGTCCAAAAAGCTATTGTTTGGAGGTACGGGTTTTTTGCATTTAATCATCATATTGCTGCAATACTGGAAGAACTGTATCATATTAGAAGAAATCATATCAAGATCAATAATCTTCACAAATTCAAAGGGTCATACTAACTCAAAATAGTAGATTTTCAGCTTTGGGGTTTTTTTTGTTTTGTTTTGTTTTTGTTTGTTTGTTTGTTTTGTCTGTTTTATTCTTATCCCTAGAACTCCATACCTAGGTCCACAGCAGGAGATAAACAATTGTTTGTTTAGCAAACAAATTAATAAATGGATTCAAAGCTTCCCATGCAATAACCATACAGCAGCAATAGTACCACACAAAATCTTGTTCCAAATCTAGTCATTTTTTTCAGCAAACATTTTTAAGCATTCACTATGTGTTAGTCACTCCATTGGATGCTATGTATATAGAAATAATAAACACAAAAAAGACTGAAGGAAAAAGAAATTTCTTTATGATGCGCTCTTTCACACACAAAAAATCTTGACATCATTTACAATATCCACTTGACTAATAGTAGCTTTATTTTCCTCAGATATTGTATGAAATATTGAAATGCAACTTAATCAGAGGCCACCTGATTCTATCTAACTCTTAAAAATTTACACAACCTCTATTACTAGAAATAAATATTCCTTCTACAAAAAAAGCATTATAGATTTGACTCTCTCTGGTTTTAGTTCTCTTGCCCTATTTAGGCATTTTACTTAACTTCTCTTTCCAAGTATATATCGGAGTTCTCCTGTAATTCTTCACTTAGCCCAAGTGATATATTTTTTTCTATTTTGAGACTTTTCAGACCAAGCTAATCACGGGCACACTTCCAAAATGTATAAGAATTAGAGAAAGGAGTTGATTGCTTAATTCTTGCCTCTGACTTGGAGCTCATGTTAATCAGCTAAAGCCAGAGCCCTCAGCATGCTCTCAAGAGCTCCGGGATCCACTGATTAGCAACGACAAGGCCATCTGGTCTTCCTGCAGTACATTGGAGAAAATCTCTCTTTGCATAAAAATTAGGGATGCCTGTAATTTAGAATGAGTGAAGTGTTGCCATCACATTTAAAGGAGATGGTGTCTGACTACAATATGAGGCCTGCCCCAAAGGAAGCTAAGTTTGTGCACACCAATGACATGATATTAAAAATTATCTATGCTCTCCCTATTTGGGTAATCTTCTCTTATCTACCATTTAGTGATCTTTCTCCTCAACTCCTCAAGTAATTGTTTTTGTTCTGCAATTACTGCACCTAAATTGGCAAACTTCAATTTAAGTCTTCTATGTAATTTTTGATTGATTTTCAAATAGCTCTTCATGAAAGGGATGCTAAAACTGAGACGATAAAGGAGTTGGAACTGTCAGAGGGAGCTAGCTGGGAAGGCAAGAATTGGCATTTGGATGAAGCCAAGGTGAGCTGTGTTAGCTCTTTCCTCCTCCCTCATTATGTGTGCAGCCTGGACCAGGAACTAAAGAAGAAAGGGAGCACAAGATTGACAAAGGTTTCCATGCAGAGAAATCACTCAGGTGTTCACTGGTGTATCTTTATGTAATCAGCAGCACATGCTCACTGAACTGTTGAAGACAGTCAGCACCCTTGGCTTCTCCAAGCAAATGATTTCCAACCAGTGTTTCCAGGTTTTGGTTGTTGTTGTTGTTGTTGTTGTTGTTGTTGTTGTTTGAAACAGTCTGGCTGTGTCACCAGGCGCCAGGCTACAGTGCAGTGGCGCAATCTTGGCTCACTGTAACCTCCACCTCCCAGGTTCAAGCAATTCTCCTGCCTCAGCCTCCCGAGTAGCTGGGACTACAGGCACGCTCCACCAAGTCCAGATAATTTTTGTAATTTTTAGTAGAGACGGGGTTTCAACATGGCCTCGATCTCTTGACCTCGTGATCTGCCTGCCTTGGCCTCCCAAAGTGCTGGGATTACAAGCCTGAGCCACCGCGCCTGGCCATTTCCAGGTTCTTTTATTCCAGGAAAACAAATAATAATATAAGCCTAATTTATTAGGCCTCATTTCCAGTTAGGGAATCAGAATAAATGGTCATTATAATGTTGCCTGAGGATCTCTGGGTGCAGGAACACTGTTGCCATAAACACAACCCATCGCCAGAGGACAGACCTAGACTAAGGATTGATGACAATAAAAGACTTTTAAAAACTAGACTTCCCTGGGGAAAAATCCATTTGATGATGAAGCTTCACTGAGTATTCCTTTGTGAACTCCTAGATGAAATTTTCAAGGCAAGAGGAAAAGTACTGAAATTGCTGAATAGGTGAGAATTGCATTCCTGATTCATTAAATATATGCATTGGTAAAAATAACATATCTTGTAATTTAAATCCAAAGATCTCTTTGGATCTCAGGATATGGCCTTTCATGTATATCCACTGTGAGTCCCACAACTTTGACATTCCCAGGGAGTTATGTAGGTTTTATATTGTATTAATTTAAAGTTTGCTTCTTTGGTTTGCCGAAGTTCTTTTAAGATAGTGATGCTGAATTGTTTCGGTTGAGTGCTTTCACAAAGTTAGCATTTGAATTTGGCCTGGTGCTTTCGCTTGTAGTTAGACAGTCCAGACAGGTTTGAGAACATGTAAATACCCACGGATTCTTCCACTTCAGGCTCTTTGTGAACAGAATGGTGTTGGATAATCCAGCACAGACATTATGTATTAAGGTAGGTGAAAGCAGACACACAAGCACAAGAATCTCTTATTCTGATGGGAGAAATTCTATACTTTGTGTTAGAAACTGTATCTCACCAACCTGTAACAATTACAGACTTCTAAGAAACCAGGATTAAAATTCACATTGGCAGCCATACTTACTGCTCTTGATTATTAAAAAAATTCAACAAGTTTAGCTGTCATTTATCTGACAAAGTTCTATGCAAATTTGGGTATATTTCCAATACTGTACATGTCATTTATGGTTTCTTATGTTCAGTTTGGCAAGCTTGTATTCTCTGTAGAAATTTCTCTAGGTGTGCCAGTATCTATTCTCAATATTAAGTTTCTTCCTCAGGTTTTATTGCTCTAAACAATAAAAAGATGATTATATTGTTATTTTATAGCTTCTTTCTTATAAGGAAGTCAAAGCTCTGAACAAATATTTAGCTTGACCAGAAAAAAAGGAGTAAATTGCTCTTTGGAGAGAAACATTATATTTGTCATTTAACAAATTATCTATTCCAAAGCACTAAATGGCTCTCTAGTGGTCAGGCTAGATTAACAGCCCTGCAAACAGCAACCCTTTTCTTTATAATTTACTAATGATATTCATTATATCATCTTCCCAACTCTTTATAATTGTGGCAAAGATAATCAGACAAAGCCAGCTCTACAAGTAGGCAAACCAGGATACCATGCCGATTTTGCGGCAGCCAATCCACAAGCAATTAACGCTTTCTACTTGAAATAAGACTTTATAAAGTCATTCGACAAATATGTATTTATTGAGATCCTATTATGTGCCAGGTCAGTCTTCTTCAAGGGTCACAGGGCAATACATTCATAACCTGACAGGCTGGGATGACTGTTAGTTTTCTTCTTTTCATACACTAACTAATTGATGGGACAGTTTGACCCTAAAGAATGCATAATGGCGTAAGTAAAAAAGATATCACATCATTAAATGCTTTCTAAAAGTCTCATCTTTTATAAATAATCTTGATTATTACAACAACCAAGTAAAAAATAGATTATGTATGCAATTTTATAATTAAGAAAATTTGACTCTGAGAGGTTAAATAAAATTTGCCTGAAGACACACAAATGGTACAGTCTTAAATCTGTCTCACTTTTGAGGAAGGTTGAGCCTATGATTATAAGATACATATGAATTAATTAAAAGATACATATGCAAAACAAAATGATGCAATTTTTGAATCAAAGTATTGTGTTCAGATTAAGGAAATACAATGTTCAGATGAAAGGAGTTTTTAGTCCTTTCATCCTTGAGACTAATGGATTAGAGTATATCTGGAACATAATGTATGCTCTTGTTGTATTGGGCCGAGTGTAGAAAGTTATCACCAAGACAAAAGTATGTCAGATTGCAGGGTCATTTATTATGCCGGCGACCACAGAGGACTCACGTCTCTCCAACCTGTGGTGTCAAAAGGAGGGTGCCACGACTTTTTATATCCGAAAAATCACCTTGGGTGTGGGGGTGAGGAGCGAGGATGGGGATGAAAAGGTTTCGGACATTCCAAGGGCTTGGGGATTCTGTGATTCACCTCCTGGGTGGAGACAAGGGCGGGGGTCTCCGGACATTCCAAGGGCCAGGGGACTTTTGTCATTCTGTTTGTTACTTCAGTGGTTTACAGAAGTCAGGATATACATTTGTTTACACATCGTCTGGGTGGTGATAGAAGTCACAGATTTTAGCAGTTACTGATAAGGAAAGGTAAGCAGCTTTACATAGTTTTGCAGAATAAACTAGCAGTTCTATTTACAGAGGCCAAGGACAGTAGTTATTGTGAGGAGAATGGGGCAGCCATTTCAACTTATTTAAAAAACAGTTTTGCATTTTATAAAATAGTGTTGCTCAGGTTCTGGCTCTAGGCCAGCACAATATCACACTCTAAATACTAAGCATCAAATGTTTAAGAAATTTTGACAAACTCAAAAGTGTGCCCAAAAATGGTCAACAAAGAAGCAAGAGAGTTGGAAACATCTCATAGACAAACTATCAGTGGAACCAGGAGATTCAGTCTGGAAAATAAAATTCTGAAAGGAATTGTACGATGTCTGTCTGCAAATACTTGAAAACTGCCATCTTAGTCTATTTTACACTGCTATAATAGAATACCTGAGACTCGGTAATTTACAAAGAAAGAGATTTGTTTCTTATAGTTCCAGAGGCTGGGTAGTCCAGTATCAAGGTGCCGGCACCTAGTGAGAGCCTTCTTGCTGCATCATTCCATGATATAAAGCAAGAGGGTGAAAGAGCATGTGGGGGCCAAATTCACTTTTATAACAAAATCACTCTTGCCAAAATGAACCCACTCCCAAAATAATGACATAAGTCTACTCATTAGGGCAGAGCGCTTATGACCTGAACACCTCTTAAAGGTCCCACCTCTCAACACTGTTGCATTGGGATTAAGCTTTCAACACATAAACTTTGGGGGACACATTCAAAGCATTGCAACTACCATGTAGAAAGGGAGGAAAAAAGCACAGGTTTGTTCTTTGTGGCTTCAGAAGACAAACTCGGAAACCAGATGAACTAGAAAAAGAGAATTACATTCCCACAGTCTCTGTGTAGAAAATTAGGTAGGAATTGTGGAGCACCTTGAAAGATGATGATTTTGAGCCTCTAAATACAAAGCCTGTGAACAGTGAATACAAAGACATAAAAAAAGGCGCCTTCAGGAATTGATGGCTGTGTAAATGAGGGGTAGTCACAGAGGGCCTCCAATATTTTGAGTCCCAGAGCACCTGCTTAGAGGTAGAGACACCAGTCACTCAAACCTGTCCACAGCCACTTGCCCTCTGCAGGGAACATTCAAGAGCAGAGCTATTATTCTAAGCACAGTAGCTGACAGACCTGGGTATTTATACTAACAGCTGTAAAGTCCCCACCTCCGTGTTCTGCCTTTGGCTATCTGCCTTGTCTGGGATGCTCTTGCGCTATATATTTACATGGCTCACAGCTCTACTTCATTCAAGCCTCTCTTTAAATGCCAAATAGTCACAGAGACCTTCCTTAACAACCCTATCCAATGAATACTATTCATTTATTTACATGCTTATTTTTATAGCACATACAATTAACTGACATTATGTAAATGTTTTCTTGTCTCCTTCATTTGAATGTCAATTCCATGCACAGAAATGTTTTGTTCACTGACAGATCCCCTTGCCTAGAACAGTGCATGGTACGTTGCAGACCCTCAAGGAATAGTTGTAAAATTAAATGGATTTTTCTCCAAGTGAAGCTTCTATCGCTCCACAGCAAATATTTTTGTAACATTTCCTCTTGATGTAAAACTTATTGGGATAGATCATGATTTCTGTTATAGATTCATATTTTAATGTAATAAAATAGGAAACACTTACTTATCCACAGCCCAAATCTAAAAACCAGCTTTTCAGTACTATACCAAGGAACTGTCATTAACTCTTTTTGGAATTTTTAATCAAATCAATATATAAATTAATTTTGTCATTATGTAATGTTGCAGATCAAACAAAATACTATCCACCTTGCCATTTTCCAGTTATATAAGATTAAACAAAAACTGGCAATTTGGGGTTTCAAATAGAAATTTTGAAATTTGAACATACAAATAGAATATGTTTAAGTCATTGTTTATTGAGACCCTTAACTTTAAAGACCCCCTAGATTAGCCAGGAAGATGCCGTTAATCCATTCAAGATCAAATAAATTTAAAAAGTACTATACTTACTTGCATATATCCCCCAAACTGAAATTAATAGATAACTGTTTTCCTCTGCATTCCTTTTCTCCCTCAAGGGCTTGTCAATACAGTTTTGTTCATGAAATGTAGAACAGATTAGAGGAACAGATGCCTGCAGTGTATTTAATGAAAGGAACCCAGAGGTATGCCAGTCACAATTGCCACACAAAAGCATTTACCCACAGATGTTTTCCTACTATCTTCTATGTCCCAATTTAAAGGTAAAATATGTGCTAAACCTGGCTGTCAAGTAGATATAGAAACCTTCAGAACATGTCCAGAGACTGACCACTCCTCCCAACTGCCATCGCCCTGTCTGAGCCGCCACCATCTTTCACATGGGTCCCAATGAGGCCTCCTAACCAGTTTCCCTGCCTCCTGCCTTGTACCTTTCAACAAAGAAGCAAGTGATCCTTCTAAATCTAGGCAAAACCATTCAGGACATAGGCATTGGCAAGGACTTCATGACCAAAACACCAAAAGCATTGGCAACAAAAGCCAAAATAGACAAATGGGACCTAATCAAACTCCACAGCTTCTGCACAGCAAAAGAAACAGTCATTAGAGTGAATCGGCAACCAACAGATTGGGAAAGAATTTTTGCAATCTACCCATCTGAGAAAGGGCTAATATCCAGAATCTACAAGGAACTAAAACAGATTTACAAGAAAAAAAACAAACAAGCCCATTCAAAAGTGGGCAAAGGATATGAACAGACACTTTACAAAAGAAGACATACGTGAGGCCAACAAACATATGAAAAAATGCTCATCATCACTGGTCATTAGAGAAATGCAAATCAAAACTACATTGAGACACCATCTCATGCCAGTTAGAATGGCAATCATTAAAAAATCTGGAGACAACAGATGCTGGACAGGATGTGGAGAAATAGGAACACTTTTACACTGTTGGTGGGAGTGTAAATTAGTTCAACCATTGTGGAAGGCAGTGTGATGATTCCTCAAGGACCTAGAAATAGAAATTCCATTTAACCCAGCAATCCCATTACTGGGTATATATCCAAAGGATTATAAATCGTTCTACTATAAGGACACATGCACACAAATGTTCATTGCAGCACTGTTTACAATAGCAAAGACCTGGAACCATCCCAAATGCCGATCGATGATAGACTGAACAGGGAAAATGTGGCACATATACACCATGAAATACTATGCAGCCATAAAAAATGTTGAGTTCATGTCCTTTGTAGAGACATGGATGAACCTGGAAACCATCATTCTCAGCAAACTGACACAAGAACAGAAAATCAAACACTGCATGTTCTCACTCGTAAGTGGGTGTTGAACAATGAGAACACATGGACACAGGGAGGGGAGCATCACACACTGGGGTCTGTTGGGGGGAAATAGGGGAGGGATAGCAGGTGGTGGGGAGTTGGAGAGAGATAGCATGGGGAGAAATGCCAGATATAGGTGATGGGGAGGAAGGCAGCAAATCACGCTGCCATGTGTGTACCTATGCAACAATCTTGCATGCTCTTCACATGTACCCCAAAACCTAAAATGCAGTAAAAAAAATAAAAATAAAATAAAAAGCTGTCAGATTATATCACCCTGCTGCTTAAAACTCTGTGACAGCTTTCCAGGTCTTACAAATCCTGGCGGTCCTCCTTCCCCTTGCTTCCAAGACCTCATTCCCTGTTTCTCTGCCCCTTAATCTACTCCAGTCACACAGGCCTCCTCACTCCTGCTTGAACATGTGACTGCCTGAGGGCACCGCACTGGCTGTTCTTGCCTTTTGGAATAAAACCTCTTTCCCACAGTATTTGCTTGCCCAACTCCCTTGACTTCTTCATGTCTTTGTTTGAATATCATCTTCTCAGTAAAGCCTCTTCTAGACATCCTGTTTCCATCACAACCTGCTCCCATCCCCATCTCAGCACCCACCTTTCCATCTTCCTGAGCATGCTCTGCTTGTCTTTAACATTGTCACAGTATTTATCATCTTATAATGTACTGTATATTTTACTCATTTTTATGGATATATATACAGTCTTTCTCCCTCCCAAAGATTCCAGGGGTCTTCATTTTGTTCACTGATGTATCCAGGGAACCTAAAACAATGCCTAGCACATAGTAGGGGTTCAAGAAATATTTGTTGAATGTATTAATTGGTAATTCTAACAATATAGCATGTGTTAGTAGTCAACCAGTCCATAAGTATGTTTTCAATGCTTAGGTGTGCTCTAGGTGATCTTAAGCACTATGGAGAATTTTTTTTTTTTTAGCATAAAGCATCTGCCCTCTGAAATGTTAGTTTAGTTGGGGAGACCACAGGTACAAAACAATGTCAAAGAGCTTACATATGGAAGATATTGATAAAGACCATTGGCTATGCTATTAGGTTTTGTGTTCTTATGCATTTATGCAACAATTATTCATTGAGCACCTACTATGACCTAAGTACTGTACTAGCCTACAGATATTAATTTCAACAAAATACACAGAGTCCCTACCTTCTTGGGACCTACATTCTGATGAAACAAACAATGAACCAATTAATAAATAAACAACTATAGAAGGACCCTGAGGAAATAAACAAGATCTGTCATAGAGAACAACAGCAGCCATGCCAATTACAATCACCAGGAGAAAGCGGCAGAATGAACAGCTGAATCTCACTCTCCTCTTGCCCTCCAGCCTCCAAATGGTACCTCCACTGGGCCAACTGAAAGCCAAAAAACACAGTGCACCTAGGGCTAGCAGTGTACAGCAAGGTGGAGAAGCAAGATCTGGAGGAGCAAGCCTGTGTGGGTGTGTGAGTGTGTACATGCCTATAAAAACACACCCAGAAGATGACCAAACAGGAACAGCTCTGGAGTGCAGTTCCCAGCAAGAACTGCACAGAGG